TTTGGCCCCGCTTGCCGTGAGGTTATGCTCTTCGAGCAGGCTCAGGACCTTTTCGAGGTCCTGAATGTGTTTCCAGACAAAGCGCCTTACCCCTGATGAGACTTCGTCGCTCTCTTTCATCGCCGGCCCCTTCACTGCCAAATCGTCAATGTATGGCTGTGTGATATGGGGGCTGACTGACTGCATGGCCCGAATCATGGCCCGTTGGACCATTGCCACTGCGTTGGTCCACCCTTGTGGGGCCACGTTCATGTGGACTAATCCTCGCGGCGTGTGCATAGCTGTCACCGGCCTATCCGGCGGGTAGACTGGGAACTGATTGTATCATGAGTAAAGGTCTATAAGCGAAATTATAGGCTTTTCAGCAAAGGATTCCGACAACGCGTCTGCATTCGGCAGTCCTCCAGCATCTCGCACGGTCACTGCATTCAATCTTTGCAAATCCTGCACCCACCGCAGCGTCCCGTTAGGCTTAATAAAGCAGAACCACGGGGACATATATGGTCCACTTGAATAGTTGGCGTCGTGAGTACGTATCTTGCCGTCGAGATAATCCACCACCTTCCTTTCCTCGTCAGGATTGGGATATCGCGCCCCTCTCATGTTCCAAGGCTCGTGTGGCACGGTGTGGATGCGGATCATAGGTATCTTATCTACATCCAGCCTGCCACGCTCCTCGTCACTAAACGCATAAGCGCGATGCTTCCTCTTCATTAATTCCACCATCAACGTTCGCTCCTGGGGCAGTAGGAAATCAGACTCCCCTATGATCAACTCCTTCTCGTTCCCTTCGTTGATACGACATGGCCCTGCTAAAGCACTTTCCCTCATTTGTCGAATCAACCCTCGTTCCCTCTCGTAATATGCTTCCTCGTCCTTTGTAACGAGGACGGGTACCGGGCGGCAATTCTTATCTACCGTCTTGTACCGCCTTTGAGAACCCTGCTTGAGCCGTCTCCTAAAAAAGGATGACTCACGGATTGTGTTTGCGCTGATGCGGGGTTCCCTCTACTGCCTGGGAGCCGATATACCAGTTTCAACCTTCCTGCCTCAGGGCATTCCAGAACTTGTTCCCTCAAGGCCTGGATGGCATCCGGATCTGCCATCTCATGCGCATGGCCTTCCCAACATCTGACAGGCTGAGGGAAAATACTTTCACCCTCTCTCCTGCCTCGGGCTCTGCCCAGAGCCTTCTGCGCTCCCCTTTCGATTCCTCGATTGTGAATGATCCTGGATTGGGCCGGTTCCTTATACTCCTTGGCCCGGTATTCCTGCAAGTAATTATTTCATAATTTCCGCAGGCAGGATCGCATAAGAGGAGGATCAACGTCCCATCATGTTTGTTGAACATCACGGTCTCTGTCCTGCTTAGGAATGACCTCCCCAGGAGGATTCCATGGTCCACGTCTGACATTATGAAGAAACATGCCCTGGC